ATATATTGTATGCGCACAAGATACAGCTTTGGACGATGTTGTCAATTTCACCATTCTACATATGTAGAGGGACGAAAAAAGGAGGTACAATATCACAGTAAATATAGAAAATGAACAAGATGCAGATATCACACCTTAATTTAGCTTGCAGATCCTTCGCCGCCTCGTGGTATCGATACATCATCTCCTGTCGCCACGCGCACTCATCCTCCAAACTTGCAAACCCCACATTGCCTTTGGGTTCCGGGCGAAGTCCTGGGAATGCGCGAATCTCCCCTTCTCCGTCGTCGGTTTCCTCGAGCAAATTGTTTGTGAACTCAGACAGTTGCCCTGTGAGGTTAGTGAAGTTGTTGGACAGATTGGCAGTGATGCCACTGGCTCCCAGGTTATCGCTGAGACCCTTGGCCAGACTGTCAGTGAACCACGACATGACTGACTACGCACCGCTACACGCAGGCCACAAGAAGTTGTACGGCGCCTGATCTATTTGAATACGTTCAAAAATCAACACATACAACTTCTTATTTAAAATAATGATTTATTTAGCCAGAATATTCTGGTCCAGCCTATTAACCTCACCAGTCACCACAGTGACCAAATTCGATATCCAGTCAGACTGAAGCCTGAAGGGGTAAATAGTGTTTATTTACAACACTTTTTTTTGGCGGCAGCAAGCAGACTATTTCATTTTCAAAATTACTTTTGTTTTTGTTAGGATTTTTGTTATATTTTTTTTTAACAAAACCAGAAAGCAACCCATTTTTTTGGCGGCCAGCCCACTGCCCAGGGGCCCCAGCCGTTTTTCGCCTCAGTTTCAAAGGTACACGAAAGCCAAGGAAGCCATAAATCGCCCACACTTCACTACTGCACTACTTTCTGCAAAGTTAGCGAGACGCCGTACCAGGACAGTAGTCAATCACCAGCAACTGAATATATAACTATGTCCACCTTGGAGGAAACATTCCTCCCCGACGAATTCGGCAGAGCAAATGGTCACATCTCTGATAGCGACGAACAGAGCGACTATGATGAGGAAGCAGGAATGGGACTACCCCCGGCCATGACGGTATATATCTGTTCATGTATAATGTAAATTTGTAGGTGCAAAACCTTCCTTTTAATGTATGTCTGTAAATGTAAGCCTGTCCATGATATTTAATGTAGATTGGTAGGCGGGGAGTATCTTTGGAATCCTACATCCTTGTATGGGAACGATAGCTGACCTACTGCCAGTATAGTCTATCCTCTCACTTTTCAGGTTCTTTCATTTGCACACATACCTTGTTTGGAAGTAGGTTTGATCGGTGCATTTTCTTTTTGGCGGAGACATTAAATTGTGCCCATTACACTGTGTACGTTATGGCCCATTCCACTGTGTGCGTTATAGGAACAACGCGCCATAGTACGATCTGCTACATACGGGTATGTTGTCTGTACTAGAACAGACTTAGCCGGTTGGTGGATATCTTATCGTTGATCGTGGCATAGAGCGCATGCTAATCGATATTAACATGATGTTGTATTATCCCCTTATACAATGCGATAGTCTTCTAGTGTACTCTCTATGATCTGGACCAGTTGTACTTTATTTGCAACCGCTGTGCTATGCCATGTCACCTGGGTATCTTCGTGTGGTGTTGCACAGAACAGCAGCTGTGAGCGCAGTCTCCCACTTATTGTGTAGACACTGATGTTACCCAAAATAACAGCGCTGTTTCACCAGATTTTTTTTTCGACTTCTAGCTAGAAGTATGCATGAGTCGGGGTGAGTTTGCTAAGCACATAGCCGACCCATTGTTTCAGCTGAAATAGTGATTCATTGTGTCGTTTAAATTCCGGGGTTTTTTCTTTGGTTTTACCAATCCTATTGCTTGGCAATGGTCGTGGCCCGACCCTCAAGCTACTAAAGATGGCGACTTTCGGTTACGTCTGTAATCATGCGGCCGTCGGGTTCAAACTGTACCAGTCAATGTCGAGGTTTTTTATCTTCGTCCTTCAGTGCGACCATCACTTATCAGCATCCGTGCATTAGACCTTGAATGAACTTGGACAATGTTCAAATCCGTGAATTATACTTAGGGTGAGACACCACAGCAATTCCCAGGAGGCCAGTCGCAAACGGGACCGAAGGGGGTGTTGGCAGATTATAAGCAATTTTGCCGCGAAAGAGATCAAGACAAGAGAGTGAAGGATGCGCAATTAATAGAAATGGCTAAACGGATGACTCTTTCAAAGGTATATTTGTTTTGTACTCTGGTGCCAATCCACACATTTAGTGTTTGCATTCGCATGCAGGCACATTTGCATGGTTTCAGTTCAAAGTATCGCCATCGTGACTTGTCTATATTTCTGAATTTGTTAATGCAAGGGACCGAGTTTCAGGTTTGAAAGTCATCAAAAAATGTCACCCAACAAAATAACTTTGTACACTCACTCCGTAGGCAGAAAGCGACAGTGACGACGATTTTTTAGATGATGATGAGGAATATATGCAACAATACCGTCAAAGACGTATAGACGAGATGAAGCACATTATGAATGCGTATGTGGTTTATCATGCATATTAGTACATGCGCATATTAGTACATGCATATTGTCGCAATTTTATTTGCGAGCGTTTAGATGTTATCGTAGTACCGACATCAATACACTCTCACAGGATATCATGGTATGAGTATAGTGTTGCTGGGATTTTGTATGATACTAATTACTTATAAGTCGAGCATGGGCGAATCGATATTTAGAGCTGTAATGTCAAAAATCGATGGTACGCTAATCTGACTCACAAGTAAAAATATATTAGCTCACACCCTCAACTTCACACGGGTATCTCAAATGTGTCAATTCGATGTATATACAAATGCCCACACCTTGACGTTGACATAGTTTCATATATATATACAATTGTAATGTGTGTGTATAGTTTATATAAATATGTGAATGTATCAGTACAAAATATTATGCGTCGATTTACGTACGTATTACAGATAATCATGTGTGCATACTCGTCGTCACTTCAATATAATATAGGAAAGATTTGAGTAATCTGTTAATGCTAGATCCGTGATCAAAAATATGTTCGCACAATGTCAGTGTTTTCCATTGGCTTGTGAGGAACAGCAGCTGTATCTGATAGTGCAAGATAGCTTATGTAGATTGATCCTACCGTATGTCTATCAAAACCACGCGCACATTTTTTTTCAAACGTTCATCAACCATAGACGACCCAAATTCGGTAGTCTTCGTACAGTCACAAGCGAATCATACCTGCAAGAAATCGATGGCGAGGACGTCAACGTTTTCGTCGTCGTCCATCTGTACAAGCAGGTACGATAGTATCTTCCGGCATGCATTTCGTCTTCAGACATGTACTGTTCGTAGTTCATCTGATAGTATACGGTGTGCTTTGTGCAATGCACATAGTCCACTCACCCAGAGTATCGTTACATTTGTAAAGCTCGATGCGTGATATATGTTGGTCACACGAACACTGTTTTTTTCTTAATGAACCGTTCACAGTCGCTGCACGAGTGCCAAAAAATGAATGAGATTCTTGAGCAACTGGCAGCCCGGTATTCGTACGTCAAATTTTTGAAAGCTGAAGCGCATCGTCTCAGTCAAAAGTTCTCATCGGGGGCAGGTCTTCCGGCCATACTGGTGTATCAAGGCGGTGAGTATGTCAGATCAAACATACTGCGAGTCTTCGGCATCTCGCGTCCAGTCTGCTGTAATCATGTGCTTCCTAAGTAACAGCAAATCGCGTGGCCTGCATGCTCGCCACAACTAAAAATATAGTTGATCATTTGTAGTATAACTGGAAGTGCTTCGTCAATCTGCTCTACCGTTTATACAGGTGATCTACAAGTGAATCAGGTAGCAGTCGTAGACACAATTGGATCAGACTTCGTCATTGCAGATGTAGAGGAACTCTTGGCCAAGTATGTATCAACGGTTGTTTTCCTGGCGATTATAGAATTTATACAGCTATGGAATTCGATATGTAGTAACGTATATGAGCGCAATTAAGCTTTGCTTTTTTTACTCACAGCAATGGCATCATAATAGAAAGGAAGTCTGTGAATAACATCACGGATTTCCGTGACGATGAATAACCCTTCTCTGGCACAGCTCAGTCACGCCAAACAACTATAACTTCGGGTTTCGTGGGAAGCAGAAAGGTGCATCTGCGTCGAAAAGGTTCAAATAAGAATATCAGTAGGCGGATCTGTTGCGTGATTGTTATAACAGCGGGTTATCCATCACGATACCCCCTCCTGCATCCTGTTCTCTTCTTGATTCCCACTCATACAAAGATTATATCAATGCCAGTACATCACATACTCCTACGGTTTTGTAAATCGTGCATATTTGGCTAACAAGATATGTGAGATAGTTGAAAAGCAGAATATGTATTTAGACTTTCAACACAAAGCCACTACTCTGCTCATGAATTAAAATAAAATTTATTATAAAAAACTACCGCGTGTGACTGTTGTCTTTCTCACTGCACTCAGAGCGAGTGCCAGTCTTCCGATAGGTCGACATTTCCTTCTTTAAGCGTGGGGCTGAGCTTGGTATCTATCAGCTGTTTGGCCATTTCTAGATCGACGTCCTCCGGTATTTTTAGGTCCTCACACAATTCACTCACGATGTCATCTATGACCACACCGACTTTCTCGACGACATTGTACGGAGCAGAGCTGTAGACCACCATGGGGTAACGCGAGCGGAACACTTCTGGCCCGAAGTGAGATGTGAGCACACCTTCCACACGCTTTTTCAGTATAAACTTTTCGTTCGCGACCAGGTCACGCATCTCTATGTAGTTCTCCAACGCCATATTGGCGATCGCGTCTCCGGCAGGCTTGCGCAAGCCATGGAATTCGTCGTAAACACTCTTCAGATTACCTTCGTGCTTCTTCAGTAACTTGTAGAATGTGAGACAGTCTTCAAAACCTGAATTGCAACCCTGACCAAAGAATGGCACGATCGCGTGCGCAGAATCACCAAGCAGGCACACCTTGTCCTCGAATTTCCACATTTCTGTTCGCACGGTTCCCAGGATTCCGACTGGGTTCGCGTTCCACTCCTTTGTGATCTTCTCTAGACCCCCCAAAAGCGGAATGGCGTCTGAATAACTTTCCGTGAAGAAGTCGGCAAGCTTCTGTTTGTTGTCCTCACCCGTCAAAGCTTCAAAGCTCACCTTTCCCCCGGTTTTGGGCATGTAGAATGTACCGGTGAACGAACCGTCCAGGTTAGCTAACCCCATGAGCATGTGCGTACCTCGAGCCCAGATATGCAAAGCATCACCGCGCATGTCCTCACACCCAGAAACGTCCTTTGGGAACTGTAGCTCCTTATAGCCATCCGGCAGCAGATCTTCGGTAAAGTTTGTGACCCCGTGGTCTCTCATTGCGTATCTGACAGCACTACCACCACCATCACAGCCCAAAATGGTGTCGCACTGCACATCTACCACTTCCCCACTGGCTACTTCAAAGTGCGCGACTGAGTTCTTAAGGTCGACCTTCTTGAGGCCGTGTGAAAAATGAATTTTAACACCGGATTTCTCCGCCTCTGTCATCAGATACTTGTTCAGCTCCGAGCGGGATATGGAGAAGTTGCATTCCTCTGGATCCTTACCATACGCAGTGTAGGTAAGATCACCTTCCACCGAATGCATCATTCTCCCGGTTACAGGTGTGGCTATCTTCAGCAGATCATCTCGCATACCCTCCAACCCAGGGATGTTCAGTGCACGTAAGCCTCTTGCAGTCAAGACCAAGTTGATGGAGCGCCCGCCAACAAAGTCTTTGGCTCGCATGTCACCCCATTTTTCATACACGTTAACTTCATACCCATCCTTAGCTAGTATGGCACTGATAAGGCACCCCACCAGCCCGGCGCCGCATACCACAACAGTTGGCTTCTGACTGGAAGGCATTATTAGTTTCAATTTGACTAGATGTTTATATTATAGACAATGCAAAATATGACATGCTATTTGGCGAGTATTTTCATGATGATCATGATAAAAAGCTCCAAAAAAGGGCTTTTCCCTGCGCCGATCGGTCTTCGGACTTCGGTCAGAGTTCACAAGGCCTACAATTAACTAATAATCATGAGGATTGAAAGACAAATTGGCAGGAGAGGACATTTTGCCGCACATTCATTCGGTGTTGAGCAAATTACGTTTTGCACCCAATCATAAGCGATCTGACGTACAACTGTGTTTTTAGGAGGCTTCCAGAAGTTCAAGTTCCAGACCGGATACTGCGGAGCTCAGGCCCCCCGGGAGGCCCCAGTCCCCCAGTACATACCCCGGGCCCCCAGTCCCAGGGCCCCACTCCCGACTCCCGACTCCTGAGTGAGTCCCGAGTCCCGAGTCCCAAGTCCCACCGTGACAGGTTTTTAAAAAAAAACCATCAAAGCATCCTAAAATTGATCATAACCTTGCAAAAGTTGTGTAGAGAATGCGCCGCCAAAAAAAAATTGTCCCATATTTGTGACCATGTGGAAAACTGGATTGTATGTATTTTAATTTGTTTACAGATGAAAAAAATGAGAGAGAAATGTTCATCAATTTTAACTGAAAACTCTCAAGAGGTGGCCTATCAGCTAATATCATAAGCATATAATTTGCATTGCATGATTGATTGTCTGCTATACTGCCTTTGATTATAAAGTTTAAAGATACATCATGGTGACTAAAAGTAAAGAGGTTCCCACCGCAACGCTTTTGATTTCCTGCCCTGATCAGCATGGACTGGTGGCACGCGTGGTTAACTTTATCGACGCGAATGGCGGAGGCATCGTGCACGCTGCCCAACACACAGATGTAGACAGCAGTTTATTCTTGCAAAGAGTTCAATTTGAGGTATATGTGTCTATCTTACGACCATAGGAATCAGGATATTTTATTGAGAGTCGTATGTACGATGTGGTGGTTTGGTTTGCGTCACTCTGAAGTGCGATGCCCCTCACATAGTTGTCGATGATCTTGTATATTTTGTACGATCGCTGCGTACACACTGATTGTTTTGGCGGGTGCCGGAATTATTTAGATCAATGACAAGTTATCAGCGCAACGCGCGTAAATATTCTGACGGTTATTAATTTCTCCCCACGTCAAACACTACAGCTTGATAGCTTCAAGCTCAAAAGGGAGGAAATCGCGCCAGCATTCGATAAGATTGCCGAAGAAATGAATGGTTCATATACACTGCACTTCAGCGATCGGCCTAAGATGGCGATTTGGGTCAGCAAGCAGGTATGTGCTATGTTCCACTATAAAGCAAATCCTTGTAATAGTTTTCTCTGTCGTCGTTTACTTATGTTTTGCTAGTCCAAAATTGGATGATTATATATATTCAGCGCGCATTTATCCGCTACTGTCACAGGATCACTGCTTACTCGATCTTCTTTGGCGTCATCGTTCTGGAGAGCTCCCTGGAGAGGTAATATAAATGCAGGGCAATTTGCATTGATATCACAGTTATTGTGTGCCTGTATATTTTTAAGCTGCGTTAATGTCGTTTTGCGTCGCGGTGTCTTTATTTACGCGCAATGAAAGCGACGGAGCTCATGGGCAGACAAAATTAGCACTATGAATCCGCGTCGTATATAAGGCTGCATATGTACCGTATTCGAGAGCAATACTTGAAGAGAGAAGCAAAACACGTGCTGACCATATTTTGACCGTTACTGGTTCTATAAATTTGCATAGGTCGTTGCAATTGTCAGCAATCACACAACACTTCAACCGATCGCTCAGCAATACGGCATCACGTTTCACCACATACCCATTACGAAAGACACGAAGATTCAGCAGGTATGTTCTGGAATGTATATGCTTCCGTATTAAGGCTCCTGCATACGTAATTGGAACGCGCTATTCGATTTGAATGGTCATACTGCGCGCTCCTTTTATTTCAGCTCATTTCTCTATTTGAATAGTAAATGACTTATTTTTCAAGTCCTCATTTGCGTTGTCATACTCAGGAGCTGAAAGCATTAGAGTTGATGGCTGAGGCGGGAGTAGAGCTTATTGTCCTAGCTAAGTATATGCAGATCCTGAGCGCTGAAAATATGGCCAGGTTCCCTCCTACGATAAATATCCATCACTCATTCTTGCCCGCTTTCGCCGGAGCAAAGCCATATCACCGTGCGCACGAGCGCGGAGTTAAGGTGTGTTTCGTTTACGGGTAACTCGATTAGCATGATGGAGGAAAACTCGTGTCATATTTTATGTATGTGCCAGATTATAGGTCAGAGCACAAGCTACCGTCTTTCATCGCGCTTTTCTGTGGGCGCTATATATGACCTAGTTGGAGTTTGAATTAGTATGTGAGGTTTCAATTGTTGCAAATTGTCAAAAATTCTAGTCACACATGCATGCGCTTATGATTTTTTCATCATGGCCTACGTTTCCCCAGATTATCGGCGCAACTGGTCACTACGTCACAGCCGATTTAGATGAGGGTCCGATCATTGAACAGGATGTAACCCGAATTAGTCATAAAGATTCCGTATCAGATTTGGTTCGGAAAGGCAAAGACATGGAGCGGCTCGTCTTATCCCGCGCGGTGCGCTTCCATTTAGAGAACAGAGTTCTTCGCTACGGCAACAGGTATTCGAAATCAATTTTCTGTAGTGGATTTCTTGTTTGTCTACCTTGTTCATGCACGATCGAGAACTCTCTGTCACATTACCATACTCCGTGAGCGACGTCTGCGCAGGCACTTCAAAACTCGAAATTACACGGACTCATAACTTACGAGCTGTATTTTTGTCTGTTGATTAATAGGACCGTTGTCATCGATTGAGCTGCCTGTGAAGGAAATTAGCATTTATCGGGATTGTCGTCTCAATAAAACAAAGCAATACAGACATACTAGTCAGCGACGTTGATTTTTACGTGCTACTGAATTTTCACGACGGCGGTGATAGCAAGCTTTTCAGACACAGAATTAGATTTGTTTGCGCATGTGTGACTGTGACTCGGTGTATATCTACAGTGTCACATAAATTGCACTTGAGTTTATATTTATCGAAGTTCTTCTAGGTTCTACCTATTTGGAATGAATGAGCGATTACGTGCCACATCTGATTCGGATTCACATTCTCCACGTCCGTGAGGTTGGCTATTATTAAGCTTCGGCTCGTTTTCCTGTGTGCTGTTGAATATACGAGGTGCTAGCAGCATGCTCAGGACTGCATAAACTGATGTCACACACTTGCCACGAAATAAGAGCTTAATGTTTCAAGGGTCTTACGTACGCGTGATAAATGATTCACAGTAATTTCGCGTGGGATTCATTCAGAGTGTACCCCGACGAGAAAAGTGGATATAAGTGCAATATCTTTCCGATAGTTTGCCACAATTGGTCGATTTGTGGTATTCGCCTGATGCCAAACAAAATGAATCCCTGCTCAAAAGTATACATAATTCAACACGCAGTAGAAGACTCGAAAAGGTACAGTCTCTTACATAGAGGTCGCCAAACCACAAGGGATAATTATGTACGGAGAACCGTTGAGGGACTGCATAATCAACCGCAGCCTCCTGGCATTTATCAAACCGACCGATAATAGGTAAATTTGCCAGCTAAATCAGTCATTCGAAAATATCGTTCCACCTCAGATTGGCTCAAGAAGTTGATACCACGCCAGCACTGCCGAGGTTGGGACTCAGAGCGACGAATTTTATGATATTTTACATTGCAACTGATACCATGCCGAATTTCTGAGTGACTTTTTAAATTGCTGATTTTATATGGCCTTTACAGTTTACTGTGCGTATACATTACTACGTAGATACGACAGTACGAGTCACAGGACGAGTCATTTTCCAAAATAGCGTCTAGTCCACACTCCACTGACCACTTTGCTCAAAGAGACTGTATACAGTCTACAGTAAATTCGCCTATTTAGTATTTACACCTAAGTTTAAATCTCTTAAGGGACACATTTCAGAGCGTCTATTGAAAAACCATTCCTTACCATACGCAAGTGAAAAACAAAATATTGAACATAGGGGATTTCTCGATTCTTTAGTTGATGGTTCTAGTGTTCATAAGTCAATAATTAGTAGCACAGCCTTCCACATAATCCAATAGTGTCAAATTGTGTCACTACTCATATAAGCGACGGTTGCGGATCAATTTTATTCAAAGCGTTTATACACTGTCTACTGAAATGAACATTAAAAGCCTAAAGTTAAATATAGGCGAAAGCTGAAGCGATCGATATCAAATAGCGTCGGCCAAAGCACGATGATGCTTGTGTAGGGTGATACAAGCCATCCTTTGGGCGACTATCGTCACAAAGAAGCGTGCTGCTTTTAGAACTTTATTGATAGCATCGTAGTTAAATTGACTTGTGTGGGATTGGCGTACAACCCTGGATTCGAGAACTTACTATCCGTACAAGCTAATTCAAGTGGCCGGAATTCGGGACGGTAGGAATGGTGCAATGGTGCGAAGTAGCGAGTGATGTGCCGTTCCTTGCATATAGAGACAACATATTCCTTCTGGATATTCGACGGATTACCCAGGACATTTGAAAATGAGACCCAGAATATAGATTATTAATGGGCTTGTTATAAATTAATCAGTGTGCTCGTTAAATGTCTTTTTGTGTGTTTGTTATATATTAATTTGCGTGCCTGTTATTATATATATATA